CCGAACTCGGAGAGTCGAGTCACATGATACAGACATTTATGCACTCGTCTGTTGCCTATAAATATAATCTCCCAACTCACATGGAAAGCACAAGAGAGTGGGAGAGACGGAGAGTGGCAGTGATTGGCTTTTCCTACCTCAGTTTTGCCCAACCACTGCGTCCTCTCTCTCTCTCTCTCTGTCTCTCGCTCAACCACACCTATAAACTCTCTCTCCCTCTTCCAGTTCACACTCCATCAGTAACGGAGCTGGTGGTTGGTGTGTGTAATCTCGTCCCACATAAGCAGTCCCATGTGGTTCTGATATCCCCCAAGATTCAACTCCTTCCCTTATTATTCACAGATTGTAGTCCTCTTACAATTTTAACATTCACCGAACTACTTTTTCTAAATTTCTGGTGATCTTTACCGCTTTGGTTTTTTGGTTTCACAGATTCTATTTAATGATCTAATGATTCTTGGGTCCTTGCAGGTTGGACCATCTTCAACTCACGAGCTTTTCCTTTGGTTTTGGGTGCCACCATTTATTTGCCAAGTAAGATTCTTCGCCTTTTTTCTGCTTCAATTCTATCCAATGCGCATGTCTTTGATTGTTTATCATGTTTCTGATATTTAGATTCAATAAGCTGCAAAATTGGAGCATTTCGATGATTTACATACAAGCTGATTTTCACACACTCTTTTTCGCCTCTTGCTCACCTGAAAAACCATAGATTCCATTTCAGCCATTATCGTAATCCTTGAGTTGTAAAATGTAAAAATATTTCAGTATCTGTCGGTGTGCTACAAAGCATGTTTGACATATGGGTAAAAGCATAACCCTTTCATCTTCTCCATTTCAGCAATCACTTTCTTTAGTTACAATCTATTGCTAACTTTGTATTTAAATTTTGGGGTATTCAATTGCAATGTACATTACTTTTCAATGAATAATATGAAATTTAGTAAACTAGATCTTTGAAATAAAGACTCCTTTTTGCTATAGTGTGACATATGGTTAAGTGTTGAATATTTGTTTTCAGAACTGGCTGTGAATCCGCACTACATTAGCTTTTTACGGGAAAGTAGAAATGTAGGACGGAATGCAAAAGCTAGCTAAATGTTTTTGTGCTTTTTAGTCTTAATCCGTTCACCAAATGTTTCTGTTCGAGATTTCAAGTAAAAAAACCCAATTGTGTAGGTATTATCATAGCATAGGAAATTTGAGTGGTGATATTTCTTTTTGGTGAATGCTGATTACTTGAGTCTTGCAGTTTTGCCTAGAGTTTCATCGACGGTGTTTTGTCAGAGAACTGTGATGATGGATTATTGTTTTGGCATTCAAAATCTGAAGTTCAGTGTCTATTTTGTTATGTGAAGGATAAAAAATATAAAAAAAAAGAAGCTAAAAACGGTTCAGATAGGAAGAGATATAAACACCATTGGAACTCAGATTATCAGTACAAAGACTGGACAAAATGATCTATCATTCCTTATTTTCGTTTTTCTTGTTGTACTTTCTTGAACACAGTTTTTAAATATTTCCTCGTCCCCATCCAACTGTTCATTACCTGTTACTCATTTTTCCGAAAAATATGTTTTCGTTTTATGGATTCTATTTGTGATTTGTTTCCAATGAGTGAAAATCCATTGATTGTTATTAAAGACTCCGATGATAGAATCGTGTGTTGTTTCTTTACATAATCCATTTGCTGCTTTCCAGAAACATTTGAAAATTACTTTTAGGTGACTGGAATAGTACCAAGGCCGCTGATGGTGATTTCTAGAATCCTAGTGGTGTGATGTTTGTAGTCTCTTTTTGTTCCATAATTTCTCAATGAATAGGACCTACCAGAGTCTTACAACAATCAAAAGACCTAGTTGATACAAACAGAATACTTTCGACATAGTATTCGCTTTGTCATGCATCAAATTTGTATCTACAAATTGACATACCACATGGACAGAGATGTATAAGGTGATGTTTCAAAAAGTTCTCTGCATTGAAAAAAAATTTGGGTGTCTGGCTGTAGATTGTTAATTTTTAGAAGAACCATTATTCCATCAAACTTCTCGGGAAGGTCCTTCCGTATTATATTCATATGCCGAAAATTCACTATTTTGGTTTTCTAATTCTGAATATGCAGATGGGGGAAGTAGTTAAGGACTTAGCTGCTGGGACTATGGGAGGGGTAGCACAGTTAGTAGTTGGCCACCCATTTGATACCATAAAGGTTAAACTCCAAAGCCAGCCTACTCCACTTCCAGGACAACCTCCCAAGTTCTCAGGTGCTATTGATGCTGTCAAGCAGACGTTATCAGCTGAGGGAGCTGCGGGTCTCTACAAAGGAATGGGAGCTCCACTTGCCACTGTTGCAGCCTTCAATGCTGTCCTCTTCACCGTAAGAGGGCAAATGGAGACATTGTTAAGGTCTCAACCTGGTGCCCCGCTTACAGTTAGTCAGCAGGTCATTTGTGGGGGAGGGGCTGGAGTAGCAGTGTCCTTTCTGGCATGCCCTACTGAGTTGATCAAGTGCAGGTCAGTTTAATGACTATTTTCTATTTGGGTCTTGCGTAATATGTCTGTAACCACTCTCAGCCGAGTGTCATGGAGAATTTAAAGTGATACTAGTTTTGTTCCTTGAAAGAAATGTAGTTAAACACCTTGATCTATTCCTTTCCTTTCACTTGCGTTTTCAATCATGGTGTAAGGTTTGTATTTACAGACTGATTTTTTCATTAAAATCAACTTTTTAGTGAAAAGGTTTAAATTCAAATTTCATCACTTTGCCATTTCAATAAGGAATTAGGATACATTCTGTTTGGATTTCATGTTAGAACAGGTTGCAAGCCCAGAGTGCATTGGGGGATGCTGGCTCAGTGGGTGGTGCAGTGAAGTATGGAGGGCCGTTGGATGTGGCCAAGCGGGTACTTAGGTCGGAAGGTGGTGTGAGGGGTCTGTTCAAGGGGTTGGTTCCTACTATGGCACGCGAAATACCTGGAAATGCTGCAATGTTTGGTGTCTATGAAGCCCTCAAGCAGTTCTTTGCTGGAGGCCAGGACACTTCCGGCTTGGGAAGAGGATCTTTGATAGTGGCTGGAGGATTGGGGGGAGCCGCGTTCTGGGGCTTCGTCTACCCAACTGATGTTGTCAAGAGTGTAATCCAGGTAGATGATTTCAAAAATCCCAAGTATTCGGGGTCAGTTGATGCCTTTAAAAAGATTCTTGCCTCCGAGGGAGTCAAAGGCCTCTATAAGGGCTTTGGACCAGCTATGGGTAGAAGTATTCCGGCTAATGCAGCATGCTTCTTGGCCTATGAGGTCACAAGGTCAAGTTTGGGATGACAATTTATTTTCGGGCTAATTGGTCGCTGTCGATTTTTGTTTTTTGATTCGGAAGCAGTTTTTCTATACATGAACTTGTGGTTGGGTACTAGGATCCTCCATTCTTTGTAACAACACTTGTGTTGCTGGAGGAGACATTCTTTTACCAATCATATTACATGCACTGGTTTTCTCTTCTTTTCTTTCCCTAGAAAGTAGTAACTCTTGCAGATGTCTTGCATCCGACGTCGGATGTCGTAGGTAGAAGCCAAATTGATTATACCCAAATGCAGCCTCCTTTTAAATGTTACTTTGAGGGTACAAGTTTAGTTCAACACTTTTAACATCAAAGAAGCATGTGAGAAGCACCAGAATCCAGATTTCTCCTATACATTAAAACTATCAAAATCTGAATCTACCCAAATTTCGAAAGGTAAATTATGCATACAGGTTTAATATATATATATATATATATATATATAAAATAAAAAAATAAAAACTAATTTTAAGGAAAAGTACCAATTCCAACCCATTTTCTTTGAATTTAGCCATATTTTGTGGGGCAGGACAATTGCACAAGACCCAAGCCCACCTAGCTCATTTGCTGGAAACGGCCACCGAATATTGGATAATAGACATGAATAAACTATTTTTGAGGCCCAAAAAATGTCACATACAAGCTGAATCAAGCCTCAAGCTTAGCCTAAAAATACATGTCAAGGTGTGGAATAAAAAATGGTTCATATGTCTAATGATGCCATGCTACGTTAATTAGGCCGCGCATTTGTGTAAATCACACCATGCTTGTGGAAATCCATATATATTTATCACGCCAAACCTTATCATGCTAATCACTATTCATCTAAGATAAGCCCAAGTCATATGCCTAGGGTTTGTCAAGTAAACTATGGTGTGGATGGTTACAGAAGAATATTGGGCTTTCATGGAACCAAGATTATGGAAGACTTTGGGCTACTTAGGAGCCTAAAGATCCAAGTCCAAAACCCTTGTGATCCACATAGGTAGGTTTGAGAGAGAATCCAACTTAGTTTCCTCATTTCCCTAGCAAGGTGACCAACTTAGTTAGGAAGAAACCAAACCACAAGCCTTAAGATCACGTGAACACCTAGCAGAACATGCATTTAATGAGGAGAGAAGTTGACTTTCCCTCACCAGCTCACACAGAAGAACAATGTGTGAAAGCCATGTGACCTGTTACCATAAGTAACGCCTGTGGAAGGATGGCCCTGGGAAAGTAGAGCCTCCGGAAGAAGGCCCAACGCAGGCATCACGAGGCTAACAGCGTCAGCCTATCTTGCACCAAAACGGAAGTGGCAAGAGAACTAAGAGGAAAAAAGACAGAAGACCAAGCCACATTTGGAGATTACTTAGGAACCCTAGAAGGGAGTCATCCACCTACAAAAAGGAGATCAGAAGCCATTAACAAAGGGGCAAGAACTTAGCCTAGAAGAAAAGATAGAACGTTAAAAGGAATATACTGCACCAAGCTAGGGAAATCTCTCCCTTAGTGCAAACAACCTTAAACTCCAAAGAATCACATCAACAATCTTAGTGATTTTTCATAGCTTTTCCTTTGAGCATTCATGGCATTAGAAGCCTTGTTACCAACCTAGGAAACCCAAATCATCCAACCTAGAACATCATGCAACTCTGCTAACTCTCTCTCTCTCTCTCTCTCTCTCTCTCTCTCTCTCATTCATGCTAAACTAATAATCTTCTAGTTTCCACACCATGCTTCTCTTGAGCAAGTCATTATTTACTTAATATGTCATCTTTAAGTCATTGATCCGATCGAGATATTTCCTAAGATGTGCTGATTCTTTCGAGATATTCCAGGACTTGGTACGAAACCAACCCAAAGGAGACAAGAGGACGTTCCCAAAACCCAAGTCCACCTTGACCTAAAAGTTCCCCCAAAATTATTAACTAAATAAAGTGATCAAGAGTATTGATAAAGAAAAGGACCGTATTGCATTGTAATCCTAAACTGAATAGGTTCTCCACCTCTTCTACTTAGCTTAGGTAGCCATGGCATGCTGCTAGGTGTCATTCATGGTTTTTGGAAGCCTTGAAGATGTATAATCACTAAAGTAAGTTTCAATTCTTTGTAAGAGTTTTAGTCACCCATTGCTTTGCTAAATATAATCCAATGGATTGCACACTGTATAAGGTAATGATTGAAGAATATAACGGAGTGTAGTAAGGACAATTAAATAATTTAATTGTTTATAGTTAGGATTAATTAATATGTTATTAATCAAATGAATAAGTATGTTTAAGACCTTGGATTAGTTTTGGGCCTCAAGGCCCAATGAACTTCGGATCGTCAAGCCCATTATTTTAAGTTGTATGACGACGAAAATACAAAAGGGCACAAGGGCCCTCTAACTAGAGAAAGCCGCCTATAGAGAGGAGGGAGAGTTGGTTTTAATTTCAATTGTGTCATTCAATGTTAGTGGCTATATAAAGATAACTATAACCCTTTTCCTAATAAGGATTTTCTTTGAAGAAATTAGAGAGCACATCTCTCTCTTTCCTTCAAGGAGGCTGGCCCTAGGGGAGAAAGAAGACTAGCATGTTCTTCTCCCTTGGTCATTCATCTTGGTTCTCATTCATCCTTTACAAACACCAAAAGAAAATTAAATTCATTAAACTACAAAGAGAAACATTCAAATTTAAACGGAGAAAAGGCGCTATACATTTTTTATATGTTAAACTTATTATATAAAATATAAAAAAAGGACCACTTATACTTGAAAAAAATACATATTGTATTGGAATATATAAATTGCAGAAGAACGAAATATAAATTATAAAGTATTAGTACATATTGAAACACGACGAACAAACATATAGTAAGTGTTCATCCAATTGCGACCTAGGCGGTGGGCTCCTAAGCACGTCTAGGCGTCATTTTTTAATTTTCAAACGCTTATCGATTAATCTGAACGGTAACAAATTGCCGAGCGCCTAGCTGGGTCTAAACAACATTAAATGAAAACTTTTAGAACAGTAAATGAAATTATGAAACAGAAAATATAACTATTTTTTTTAACATCGTGGGCTAGCTCGGCCCAGAGTTATTTCATTTGTAATTTCGATTGTTCGTGTGGCATCTGTCACCCACCCATAAAAAAAAAAAAAAAAAATGTAAAAAAAGAGGACGAAAGAGTTTTATTAGTAGTCTGATTCCCTGCCACGTACGAAAGAAAAAGAGATCCGCAGCAGCGGGCATTGGCCAAAAAATTAGACAAACTCGTTTTATTATAAAAAGGGGGAAAGCCGCAATAATCACTAAAACCCTAAAAACAAAATCTAAACCCTAGTTTTTAATCAAACGCTTTTTCTCTGCTAGATTTTCAATTTCACCACCATCGCTACTCTCTCTCCTCTCTCTCCTCTCTCTCTCTCTCTCTCTCTCTAAGTAGTCCATTTTCCCGGAATCCAAACAACCCCATTGCGAAATCAGTTCGCCCCCTTCTTGATCCCCCCACAAATGGATTCGCGGGAAGTTCCGCAGCAACAGCCGCCTCAGCAGCCGAACATGATGGTGGGCCCATCTTCATATCCCTCCTCTATGCCCACCGCCAACATAAACCCTAATTCGGGCTCCATGATGGGCGCCCCCAACCCGGGACGCTTCCCTTTCAACGCGGTGGCCCAGCAGCAGCAGCAGCAGCAGCAGCAACAGCCCACTTCGAAACCGCAGATGGATTCTCTGAGCCCCAGCCCCTACGATGGGTCGTTGAGGCCGTGCGGCAGCGGCGGACCGTTCAACATCGACTCTTCTTCGGCTTCGGCTGCCAAGAAGAAGAGAGGGCGGCCCAGGAAGTACTCGCCTGACGGCAACATTGCCTTGGGATTGACGCCCACGCAGATTCCTTCTTCGGCTTCGGCCGCACCTGGGACCCATGGAGAGTCTAGTGGCACGATGTCTTCGGAGCCCCCAGCCAAGAAAAACCGGGGGAGGCCCCCAGGTTCGGGCAAGAAGCAGTTGGACGCATTGGGTAATTGAGATTCTGAGTTTGAAATTGTTGTAAAGAACGAAAATTGGGTGTGGATTTGTAGTTTACTGATGTACATTGTGCTTATTGGTGTTTGGTTTTGCTGTGTGCAGGAGCTGGCGGAGTTGGATTCACACCTCATGTTATTATGGTGCAAGCCGGTGAGGTATGTGACTTTGTTGATGTGAAGAGCAAATTGTAGTCAGTGAAGAGTGAGTTATATTAGTTCCTTTGGAGAAATTTGTTATTTTTGGGTTGTTTATATCTCTATATATATCGGGGAGATGCATCATTCAAATATGTGTTTACTTATAAATCTAATGTTACTTTAGTGCAATAAAGGATGACCTTCAATCTCATTTATAGTTGTGCCTTACTGACAAAAAATCATTAATGGTTGTGTGAAAGGGAAGTGAAGTTCTAGTTCATATAAATGGGGGAAATATTGACTTTGAGTAGTATGATGAAATAGCTGTGTAAATTATATTGACTGTGTTGTTTGATACTAAAGCTGAAGAGAATATATAATGTAGTTTCTAGATTGTGTAAATGCTTGTGTTATTCAGTGCTGTTTCTTTTAATAATTTGGTTTCTGTCTGCGTTTCTTTTGTTTTTGTTGTTTGGAAAATCATGTCATTTCTTCAATTTATGTGGTCGTGATCATGAAAAAATAATTAATTCATAAAAGATTATAGAAGACAGGAATCTATATGTAGCACCAAATGTCATTGTGCTTACATGGTAGTATTAGGAAATTAGGCTATAAAGTGAGAAAATCTTTCATCTTTTCTTAATAAGGAATGAAAAATATTTAAGTAGATTGTTGTTAATGGATGTGCCACGTATATCCTGCTTTTTGTTTTAACCAATGAAGATACCACTTAATAGGTTTTTCAGTATGGTTGTTTATGTATGGAATACTTTTATCTTTTGTGAATTTCTTTTGCATGTTGTCATTGGAAATGTCTTAAATATTGACATTTTTGGTACAGTGCTGAAAATACATTTTGTATTGCTGTCATTGGAAAACAATTAAGACACAATATTCAAATGTTTTGAAGAACAAATTAGAAAAAACAGATTAAAAATAAGTGTTCCAAATTTCTGTTATAAGAACCATCAAACAATATAAGAATTAATTAATCACTTTAGGAAGGAGAACAGTGCAAGGGAAGCAGTGCAACAATATGGTGCGGACAAAGGAAGTAATGAGAGGGTGGGATGTGTAGAGAGATGAGGAGAGAAATCACGATAAGGAGGGATGAGCACTGAAGCAGTTGAGAGGAGACTGATATAGGTAGAGATGTGGTGGAACAACTGGTTCTGTGGTGCTGTAATGGTGGCAGGAAGGAAAGCTAGAGCGTGAGTAAAGGCTGGAAAATTAGCAGGGATATATAATTTGATGAAAATCTGAGGGATTAAGGCTAATTGGGTGGATTAGTGTGGGAGTAGCCCCATTAGTATTAAGTAATTGACATGAGTATGTGACACCGGGCATTTTCAATATTTTGATAAAGCACATATCAGTTCTTGTGGTTTTATGGGTTTACAGATAATTACTTTAATTATTTTAAACTTGGTTCACCCTGCTCGACTGGGCTGGGTTGATTGGATGCCACCATGATTTGCAGATCCCTACAAGTGATGGCTCACTAAAAGTGATATATGTATGTAAAGTGCAATATCTGTTGTGATTGAGGCTGGAGATATTTTGCATGAGTGATATAACATAAGAAGCATAAGCTATGCCACATTTTGTGCACAGAGCCTTCAAACCTTGGTTTCAAGGAATGAATACGTTTTTCCTTTTGTTTCTGTTGTGCCTCCAATGATGTAAATCAGACATAATTGTACCTGAGTTTAACAATGGTTTACTGCATGCATTATATTATAATTCAATCTGTAAGTTAATTATCTTAAGACATATGGCTGTCTGTGCATACAAACAGAATCATTATTCTCACCCAATGGTCATGGTTTTTATGTAAATTTTTAAATTTGTTGCTGTTGGATTTTATAATTACTCGAATCAAACATTTGGGATAACCTGGATTGTTTGGGTTATTTTTGTTTTGATCTGCATCATTGGACCATATAAAGGATTATTCTTTTATTTATGTAAATTATATTTGCATCCTTTTTATGCTGATAATTTTATTTTATTTTTTTTTAATACTGCAATGCTTTAATCGGCCACAATGGTCGCATACTTCACTTGGCATTTCTTTGTATGCACTGATTTATGGCATTTACGTCTTCAGGACTATGTTATCATTTTCCATTTTTTAATTCCGATTCGAGTTTTCAGCGTAGTACAATAAAGATAATTAATAAATTTGCCCAGTCATGGTATGCATTCTCATTTGTGTGGCCTTATGGTTTTTAGGATATAGCAGCAAAGGTTATGGCCTTTTCACAGCAGGGTCCGCGCACAGTTTGCATTCTCTCTGCAAATGGTGCCATCTGCAATGTTACCCTTCGCCAGCCAGCAATGTCTGGTGGTACTGTCACATATGAGGTAACTTTTGATGTTTTTAAAACAGTTATGTTTGAATGGACAATGGAGTTATATATTTTGTTTTATATGTGCTTACTGTGATATTGCAGTATCTAGAGAATAAGAAATGAGTTTGAGAGGACTTGAGATAAATACATTTCTTGTAGAATTATGTTGTTATCTTCCTCGTCTTGATTTTGCAGATACTTTTCTTGTATCCTATAGAAAAGATGTTATCTGTTTAAAGTATATGTCATCATCTAAGAAAAAAAAAGGAGTCATTTTGTAGTGTGGACTTGTGGCATCTCAAGCTGATCATCTTCTTTTGTGAGAGTTCATTTTCTGCTATTTTCAGTCTGGAATGCTGTTGTTGCCTTGAAAATGCATCATATTTTTTTTTCTTGTTTCCTCCAAGAATGCTATGTTTTTATTGTTTGGAGGCTATAGGTTATATCCCCTGTAAGCTTGCACCGTATATCCTCGTTATACAAAAATTGAGGCCAACAGATATAACATTATCAATTTCTGTTACATCAGTACAATTTGATATTGGTTTTGTTTTTGGATGAAAATGGTTTTCATGGAGGACCTTAGTAGGTCCTGTGGTTTTCTAATACTATGATTATGTTAGTCCTTGATGGAATATCCATGTCATTTAGTATCCATCATAAATAAGTTTCCATTTTTGCTTCCTGTCAGAAGTAATTAACATAAGAGTTCCGTTCTCTTGGTCACCCACCTTTGGATTTGATATCAGGGGTGCATAATAAATGGATGTGCTTTTAAAATTATAATTTCAACCCTATCAAATCCAAGGGTGGGTGACCATGCATTGTGATGAAGAGAAGGTTTCCATTTAACATAAACTTAATTGAGTTAGCAAACTCGTGCCATGAGACGTGAGCTCTTACAAGTTGTTAAGAAAAAATAGTAGAGTTACCTCTTTATCTGTAACTAGGCAGATCAAACCAATGCCTTTTAGACTAGTTATCCAAAGAATGGAGAAAAGTTGAAACAGATTAATGAAATGCAGTACTAACACTTGAACATAAAGTATTCTAACGATTTGAAGATTTAGCATATGCTGCTGAAGCTCAGCACCTTCAAACCTTCTACAATACTCTTCCAAAATATGAATATAATTGGAGCAGTTTCTCCCATATATGATTTTCCACAAGCACAATAACTCACTTTCACGCCCACTGCACATACACACAGACCGATACACTGGTAAATGTATACCCTTTCCATTGGATTCACAAATTTGTTTGAGCACTCAATGTTACAATGTCATGCTATCCATTTCTGGTGTTATTTGTTCGACAATCTCATTAAAGCCAGCTGCTTTTTGTTTATAATAATTGGTTGTTTAATTGTTTATTTATTCTTTCTGCCAAATTTTTATTAGCTCTGTATTTTCTTTGCAGGGTCGATATGAGATTATTTCCCTGTCAGGTTCCTACTTGTTTTCTGAAAATAATGGGAATCGCAGCAGAAGTGGTGGTTTGAGTGTATCCTTAGCAGGGTCTGATGGTCAAGTTTTGGGAGGTGGAGTTGCTGGCATGCTTGTGGCAGCATCACCAGTACAGGTACCATTCTGCCATTATTTGCTCAGCGTATCTGTTATATGAAATTATGACTGTTCACCTTCTGTAGTTGTAAAGGACATTCAGGGCGAGAACCTTTTCAAGTTAAAAAATATAACCCTGTTATTCTAGCTCAATTTGAATTTTAACTGCAGGTGATTGTGGGTAGTTTCATTGCCGACGGGAAAAAATCCAACCCCAACTTGGTAAAGTCGGGAACTTCCTCTCCCCCAGCATCACAAATGTTGAACTTTGGTGCGCCAATGACAGCAGCCAGCCCGTCCTCTCAAGGAGGAGGATCAAGCGAGTCGTCAGACGAGAATGGCAGCAGTCCTCTCAACAACAGCAACAGGGGACCTGTGCTCTACAGTAATGCAAATCAACCGATTCATAATATGCAGATGTATCAATTATGGGGTCAAGCTCAACAATGAAGAAGACGATGATACTTCCTAGCCGGTTACAAGTAGAGCAACCGCATTTGACTGATTGCGTTCTTATTTCAAATGCCGATTGATATCCTCCATTGTTAGAAGCAACTCCGAGTCTGAGGGGCTTATTTAGTTCTAGATTATTGAGTTTTTCGTGTTATGGTAGTTAACATTTTTTTCTTCGTCTCTCTCCCTCTCTACATATGATTGAAACATGGCTATTGCTGATGGCTGAGAATACGCCGCCTGTTCTTTACCTTCTCATGAGTTGAAATTTGCATTTTAAATATTTTTTTTGCCTTCTATTTATTGGTGTTACGAGTATCAAATTTCATTGGCTCCAAACTTGCGTGAAATCTTATTACAGCTTTTCCGGTCGTCTCGTGTCATGGAATCTGCCCTGCTCCCTATTGTATTTTCTTCTGCTTACAGGAAGTCGGGCCTGTTTTTGACTCTCAAAATCACCTGGGCTATGTTTGGGTGAGGAAACTGTTTGCTATCTATTTAGAAATTTTTATCATTTCTCAAAACATTTTTTCAATGCCACCGTCACGCAAAACATATCAAAATCGACGATAGCAGGAGGTGTTGTGTTTAGAGTGCGGGGAGTCGAAGAGGAGAGGAGGGTAGGGTGGGTGGAGTCGAAGAGGGAAGGGTGTTTAGAGTGCGGGGAATCGAAGAGGAGAGGAGGGTTGGGTGGGTGGAGTCGCAGAGGGAAGGGTGGATGTGCGGGAAGTCGAAGAGGAGAGAAGGGTTGGGTGGGTGCAGAGGAGAGAAGGGAGGAAAAAGGGAGGGAGGGTCGGGGGTGAGGTAGGAGACGGCCCAATATTTTTATTTTTATTTTTATTAATTTTAAATTTTAAATTTTTTACTATCCACGTGGACTTATATTGACACATGACATTCAGTCATTGTTCATGTGGGCGTCAAGTTACCATTTAACGACTGATTTAATAGCAACCTTAACAGATGTACGAAAGTGTCCCAAAATTATGACTTCGGGTACTATTCTGGGATGAAAAAAACTTAATGTATCAAATGTTAAAAACCAAGATACTTCAAGGTAGTAATATCCACGGAGGTGCATGGGTCTAATCCAATGACTTATGTTAATCCATACTTCTAGTGTATACATCACACTTAAATTCTAATAATGCTCACGAACATATGATTAATTTGATATAAAAACAAATAACCAAAAATAGCGACGTTAATGTTGAGAATAAAATCTCATAATGAAGAAAGTTGAGATTTCATCATAAAATCAATTAATAATATGAGAAGTATGCTCAACTCCTTATAAAACCATACAAAATTCTTTCTCCCATCAATGTATTTTATTCTCATCACGCTCCCTCACGTGTAGTCATTTTTCAAGTCAAAAACGTGGTCAACACAAACAAGGTGACTTGGATCATAACTTTATATGTGGGACAACCTGTTCTGATACTATGAAGAAAGTTAGGGTTTCACTATTAAATCAATTGGCAATATAAAGAGTAGTCCAACTTACTTAGAAGTCCATACAAGATTTATTTTCTCGTCAATGTGATATTCATTTTCAACATTGAATAAGTGTGGCCTTATAACATGGTTCCTAATTTGAAAAATTATTAACACTGCTTACACGCGCAATGTGGAAACCAAATGTACACATTATTGTTAGCGACAAGGCATTTATCGGCCAAACCTTCTAAAACCACGTCATAAAGTCATTAGGTTCGCTAAAGTTTACCTAACAAGACAACTAAGGCAACACGCGGGCGAAAAAAGTCTCAAGAAGGAAGGCAATTGGAAAGCATAATATGCCTCATAAGTCCAATGTTAGTTTTATATATTAGACTTGTATGCTACTTAAATACCTCATGATCCAAGCATGACTCAAAATAATGATTATGACTGATTTATTTTCCAAATGTTATGTATACTCTCTGTACGTGATCTAATCGTTGAAATACGATTTTAGAAATTTTTAGTCATACGACGTTTTAGTTGGCCTATTGTATTTTGAAGGGGACACATCAACATAAATGGTTATAAAGTGTAATGCTACATGTACAACGTACCTTACTATAAACTATATCACTAATAAAAACAAGACCAAAAAAAGAGGAAAAAGAAATATGATAATCACAATTACGTTCAAACAGTTTATTTTTAAAAGAAATCAATACGCCTGTCGTTGCCTTATTGACTTCGATATTTCGTTAGTATGATTGATACTATCAATATATCCTATTGTTGCATTAAACTTAAGTTACATGACAAATAATTAACGACATGATATCATTTCATTGAGTAATCAGATTAATCATGTGGTTAAGTTGTTGACCCAAAAATTTTCTAGGAGCCATTCCTTCTTTTTGGCTAATCACAATTCGACATTTTGTCTTTCTTCTTGTAAATTTGATAACTTATTTTTGTGGAGATAATAATTTTATTTATGAATCCCTCTATAGTGAATGACAAATAAGAACATAAATCTTTGCCGAATGTGAATTAAATAATACTCAACTCAAGGGATTAAAAATATTTACTTAAACATAAAATAAGAAAAACGAAGAATGATCAAGTTAAATTTCAAGCAACCAATTCACATATGCATTTAGTCAATGACACCACCGATCTGATAAGTGTGAGTTTCTTCTTGTGTCGATGGCATGCCAAAAATAAACGCGCCAACAGCCAGCAGGCGCGGGTAGGCCCACAGTCCGCGGACGCCTGCTAGTCGGCAAGTCGCAGTCGAATTCCTAATTTCCTACCACCAATGCGATTCTTCCAACGGCTCTTTCGCCAGCAAAGCGCCACTCCAAACCATATAATATACATACAAATACAAAACCTTTCTTTCTTAATCCAAATTAAAAGTCAGGAATTAAAACTCTCTCTGTCTGTAGCCGCTGGCTGGCCTATTCAATCACCCTCTTTACCCATAAATGCCTTTGCTTTCACTTCCAAATTTAACAAGCACACGCCAGTACACATTTACCTCCAAAACAACCATACAAACATCCCCAATACACAACTGAATTGCAGATTATATACACACACATTATATATCTAACATATATATACAGTCTCATATCACACCCCTTGTTCTATTTAGACTACTCATTTCTGCAATTTCAATGGCTTGCTTGGTCTTGCCAATTTCAATGCTGAAAAAGAGGTGCATGGGGTCACGGCTACATGGCTACCGGCCTTTAGCCGATGATAGGTTCGACGATTCAGAGAATCCAGTGATCGTGGTGGTTGGGAAGGAGAAGAGGGAGTTCTTGGTAGACCCTTTTGTGCTACAAGAGAACCCTTTTCGAGTTTTGATCGAGGCAATGAACAAGGACAAGAAGGTGGAGAATTTTGGTAATGGGAATGGTAAGGGAAGAAGTAGGATGGTTTTTGTGGATGTTGATTCTATTCTGTTCGAGCATATGTTGTGGTTGATGTATAATGATTGTTCTTCTTTGTTTGAGCTCAATCTTAAGGAAATTATAGACTTCTATGCTCAAGATTATTAGGCAGCTGATTATTAGTAGAGGAAAATATGCTGACTGATCTGTCTTGGTGTAAGAAACGTTTTGTAATCTTAATAATACCTTGTAATACTTTGTTGCTTAAACTGTCTTTTGCAATTGTTTGCTGTATTCTATTTACGTATGCCAAAAGACCTAATCCTGGATATGCCGCTGGACCAGCAAAACATGAAATAGATGAAGATATAAGAAATTATATAAATACTGAAATAAAGAAATTGTAAAAATTTAATTGGCTCAACCAAGTATTTTGATAGGTTTTTTTACCACACGCACAAAGGGCTTAAAAACACCTATAATACTTGGAAGAATGACAAAGATATTGTAGTATAAATGGTTTCTGCAAGGTCGTTATCCACAAAGATTATTAAATATTTCGAAACAACCCAAATTCCAATTAATTATTGTAAAGCAAAGATTTGGGATGATGATTTTATGACCTAATTTAATAAAAACGAATTTAATTAATGAAAGTAGACAAATATGCAATATTAAAGATGAGGAAAAGGAAACAGTTTTGTAAAAATCAAATTAAGAAAGCACCAGGGATCCACCGTCACTTTAACAATTCTATATAGTTCTCCCAATTACTTATGACCTATACATGCATATTTTGAAGGTTAGGTTTTCCTAATATATGCCTACTTGGACCCCGATAGAGTGTATATCAAACATGCAATCCGTTTGTAGTATTCAAATCAAATCTAAGACTCGGTATTCATCCTAAGTGAATTTGCACATATTAATCACAAGAAGCCTTCATCAATTTCAGGGACCAACCACCGATCAAAATTGCATCAAATTACTTTTCTAAATATCCTAATGGTGGCGAATCATCAAAGCACTTAGACAATATAAACCGGTGATTAATAATTTGAAAACCTGCATGCATATAATCATAAGCAAATTGAAAAGAAATTACATATTCTTGCTAAAAGGGAATTAGTTACGCATATTCATAACTAAAATCAACATGAATTGTATTGAAAATAATAAAAGATAGAAATGTAAAAGTCCGAAAATCCCTACGCTTGGCCAATTTCCTCTCTCAAAATCGCACGGATAAGAAGAAGAAATAGTTAGGGCCGACCAAGCTTATTTAACCTACTAAAATAAATCCTCCTAATAAAAAGGTCTTCCAATCGAACTAGGAAACCAAATAAATAAAATAAAATATGAAACATAACCCTAAATTAAAAGGGAAAATTCTCCTAAAATCTGCACAACCATGTTTTGGACCCATATCTACTCCAAAACCGACCCAAAATAGCTAGATTAATTTAAAGCTTGGAATATTTTTAACACTTCTTCATAAGGCCACAAACCCATCAGAGGTCATTTGGGCTCCAAAACCCGCAATTAAGCCCAAAAACATCACTTTCTAGCATTGCGCATTGCTTCTTTATTCCATTGCCAAAAAATAACCGTTTGGTATAAAAATACCAAATTTTGACAAGAACAAGCCAAGAGACACACGAACGTCCTCTAATTTGAATCATTCTAAAATTCATCTGTTTGATCATGTTTTTCTCCAAAGGAATTCGAATGTCCCATATTTAAAATATAAAGCAAAGTATCAAAATTCTACCAAAATAATAACCAAAACATACTAAGAATAAGGTGAAATAGATAATATGAAAAAAATACCAAATTTTGACAAGAACAAGCCAAGAGACACACGAACGTCCTCTAATTTGAATCATTCTAAAATTCATCTGTTTGATCATGTTTTTCTCCAAAGGAATTCGAATGTCCCATATTTAAAATATAAAGCAAAGTATCAAAATTCTACCAAAATAATAACCAAAACATACTAAGAATAAGGTGAAATAGATAATATGAAATTGACTCATCATATTTCATTGATACGTTAGGAATATAAACAGTTTTCCTTCTACAATAGGCAATCCTACAATTAGGGATTACAATCGTAAATACAAAATCAAGTACAAACCAATTACATGAAAACTTCCTAACTAAGAACATTGACTTTCTTGTTAAAAAAAAAGAAAAAAAAGAAAAAGAAAAAGAAAAAAAAGAACATTGACTTTCTAACACTTTCCCTCAAGTTGGAGAGTGGAGGTCAAGAATTCCCAACTTGCGTATCATAACTGAGAACTTCTCGTCTCGAATAAAGTGACAATTGATAGAAGCATATTTATGCAACTTTGTTATCTTATTTCTTTGCATTTACTTCGTTAATTTTCATTTATTTTGGTAATTTATGTTATTTTCGTATTATTGTAGGTCTACTTGGTAAATATGACAATAAGTAGCTAAATGGAGCAATTTGGAGCAGTTTTGGACTTGGATTGGACAACATGCATGAATAGCATATGGGCTGAACGTTTTTGGTGTTCAAATGGTGCTAGACATATGATAAAATCTGGAGAAATTAAAGTTGAGGATTGGAAGGCAAGGAATTATACAAGAAAGAGGAATCCTAATTGGAGAGGAACATTCTCTTATCCGATCCTATCTTATCTTATCCTATCTTGTCCAACATTATCTTATCTTATGTCCAGCTACAAGGAGGAATCCTAATCATATTCCAACACTTTCTACCTGATTTTTAGAGTCCTAAAATAACTCAAAAAGACTAAAACCATTTCCTCCTTGGATTCAACCATTTCCCCCTATATATATGAAATTCCTGCAGAGATTTAGTGTGTGCCGTACCTACCATTCATCCATTAAAGTTGCTAGAATTTTTAGAGTTCTTTCTATCTTTGTTTTAAGTTTCAATGTTTATTTTAGATTGCTTTTCAGTTATGATGAACATGTCTAACTAAGTTTCTTTTTAGTTAGAGGTGAATTCGAAGCATGATCACATGTTTTATATAAATTGATTACATCCAGTTATTGTTTCATAAAACATGAATGCGATTTATTTATTTGCTTTATAAAGAACTTATTCTTGTATGTTTATTACGGTGCACACTTAGTTTGCATGCAGGGATTTGATGCTAGAATATAAGGGAATTTCACCTAATCGTTATGAACTTATATTTGCAAGTAGTAAAAGTCACTAGTCATGATTGAGTGAAGTAAATTCTTGGTAGTAGTATCATGCTTTTCATAGTTACGAATGCTTTGTCAATGCTTATGATTTTCACAGAACTTAATGATCTTTGAGATGTATCTCTATCATGCTTTTCATAGTTAGGGAACTTGAGAAGAATAATTTGGTTGTGTCATTGAGTCCAATTAACGTAGGAAAATCTGAGAGTTAATTAGTGTTGTTCATGGTTAATTTGGGGTATTGTCATTCATGGTTTATAGGAAGAATAACTGGAAATTGATTTGTATGCATATGATTCATGTGCGGAGAAGAATCCTTTAGCTATCCTTTATTCCATATTTCATTCACAACTTAATTTACTTGTTGCACTTTACTTTTGTTTTAATTAAATTCGTCAAAATCCCCCCAGTCATTGTTTTGTTGATAGTTTAATTTAGTTTTCAGTTTTATAAGTTTAATTTGTGTTGATTAGCATACCTTCTAATCCCCGGAATAAAATGATCCCTACTTACTTGTACTATGATTGCATAATTTATAGGGTTTAATTTGTGTGTTAGTTTCTACCATATCAACAATCCATCTCAATATGTCATGTACTCTCATGAAAAACTGGATTTGCCGCTATATGTAAAGCCGTTTGGTTACCACAACATAAAAGTGAAGCTTTTGAATGAGGCAATTGTAAATATTCCAATAAAAATCTCCGCCAAGTAAGCTCACAACATGTACCTACCATTGCCCTATACTCAGTCTCAGTGGAGGATAAGGAAAATAGTCTTCTGCTTCTTTGTGCGCCAAGAGATGAGAGAATTACCAAAAAAAATATACACAAGTCCAGTAGTTGAAACGACGAGTTCTGGGACAACCAGCCCAATCCAAACCACAATAAGCAAACCAAATTTAATTTATTATCAAACCTCCAAAACAAAATTATTGGCCAGGAGTAGATTTAAGGTATCGACCAACCCAGAGAGCTGCATCCACATGAGGCTGTTATGGTTTATGCATCAAACGGCTAAGAACATGCACGAAATAAGTGATATCCTGATGATAGACAGTGAAATAAATTAGCCGGCTCACCAAACGTCAATATTTGATTGGATCCTTGAGGAATTTGTTTTTCCCTGAAAGTTTGACATCTTCCATTAAAAACTTCATTGGTTTAGCTCTCAAAAAACCTTGATCTTAGAGTATTTCAAGTGCATATTTGCATTGTGAAATAAGATATCTCTTTTGGAATGAGAAACTTCAACACCCAAGAAATATTTCAAAATTTCCAAATCTTTGATGCAAAAATTACACCAGGTAATTTTTTACACGACTCGTTAACACGACACATAAACAACACGAAAATAACGGGTTTCGGGTCAACACGATAACTAATCAGATTGTTATCAGGTCACATGATAAGAACCCATTAATAACGGGTATTTAACAAGTTTACACGAGGGTGACACGTTAAGAAAAAAATTTATTTTGATGATTTTAATTTTTTAAACAACCAAAAAAAACTTATTATAAAACACAACAGCCATAGTGTATATGTATATATTGTATATTAAATATGTACTGATGTAAATTTAAAAATTTAAAATTTAAAATTTATTTATTTATTTTTATAGTGTATTATAGGCAAAGAATATGATTAAAAATTATAAAACTTATTAAAAATAATCAAGTAATTTAAAAATACCAAACACATTAAATAAAATATAGTTAATTTACAAGGGCGAAAAATGCGAAAAAACATGCAAACGCTTGTGATCACATTCTCTACGATTTGAGGATGGGTACATAATCGTTTGAATTTTTAAAACCATACAAACACTCATGAATTGACACACCCCAACCGGAATCAAGGTGTGTTGGCCGTCATGTGAAAATGACGTAACCAAAAGTGCAAGTGATGTAAGAAAATTGTGAATAAATTAAAACCAAAGCTAGAACTTAATTAAACTAATAAAGTGAGTGCGCAGTAGTGGTTACCACCCATAATTACAAATACTCAGAGCATAGATATCATAAGGGTAAAGCAGTCGAACGAGAGAAGTACTTATTACACAA